AGCTTGTTTTCAAAATTAGAACTTTTCGAGCCACGACTTGCACGTTATTAAAAACTTTCCCTCCTTCTTTCAGCCCTCCCCCAAACCCCTCGCTATTCTCTACATTACGAGACCGCGTTCTCTCAAAGTTGCAAAAAAGATTGGCAAGAAAATGTCGCGATACACCGAGAAATAATTACGCTTTCGCGTTCTCCCTACGAAATTACTCCTTCGAATTTAGATTTTTATTACGTCTAACCCTTTCGCAACTTACCCTCATGATTTAACGCGATAAATCGCACGGATTTCGGTATAAAAGCCCCCTTTTTTCTCCACTGAACACTATTATGGTAAAAAATTGAAGAACGAAAGATAACGAACGAAATAATTTTTCTGTCTGATTAGCCAGGTCTTAAGGGATCACGCCATCGCGAGGAAATACGATTATTTCGTCGTGGACAAAAATATGGGGAAGTGGCACGACTTTCGGTTACGAAACCCAGCCAAGGTAAATGAGATGTCGTCTGTCACGATGAGAATGCACCCTGTACATTTTCATATTCTTCAAAGTGCAACAATGAAAATGAGACTCTCCGCAGGAATTTCAGAGATTCTGAGGAATAAATTCTCAACGTGAATGAAAATGATTAGGCCGTCATGCGTACACCGGTCAACAAATGAATTTTATCCACAAACAATTAAACAATCAATCGGAACGCGACGACTTGCGTATGGATTTTCAGAAAATATACAGCGCAACGGGACAATGGGAATTCTATTTAATTATAGTTTCAATTTGCTGTTCGTTTAAACCGAATTGAATCGAATTTGCTTTCATTTCCTTGGAAAGAAAAAAATACCTGGAAAAGTTGGTCGAAATAGCGGAAGAGCTATTTCTAGTGGAAAATTTCCGAATAACGAATCTTGATAATGATTATCTTCGAAAATTGAGCATAAAGGGAAGAGGAAAAAAAATTGAATCGCTAATAAATCGATTGTTTCGTTTAATTCGATGAAGAAGACAGGTTGTCGTGAAAGCTACGAACCAAAGGAGAAAGCATGTGGTACTTCCGGTACCGAGTGACAAAACAACGCTTGGAATCTTTACCTTCCGATCGATGCGATCGTTTTGAAACATCCATTTCGCGTTGGCTACACCAAGTCAAAAATATTAAACCGGATAACAAAGGAAACTGAAGAAGCAAGCTGAAGAAACTTTTGAAAACTGCATGCATCCTTGTTCGTAATTTGTGATTACTGAAAAATATATTTTTTTCTAAGTATCGAATGAAACAATGTATGAAGGAAAAATTGCAGCTTTGACGTCTCGTTAACGAAGAGAAAAGACTTCGGATGCATTTGATTCCGTGGAACGTGACGAAGCTCGGTGGAAAGAAACGGGCGTGCAGTTTCGGCTCGGTGAAGCGGAACGCGTGCCAGTATTTCTTTCTATGTATGTTGCAAAATCGCAGCCTAAACCTTGTCGAACCTACACCGATTTTCGCAATCCCCGCGTTCGAGCGGATTTCGCGGAAATTCGACTGGCTCTGATTTACAAGTTGGACGGGGCGCGATCGAACCACGGAAATATCAGCGTTATTTGAAACTATATCATTCCTTTTCTTTCCTCGGAAACACAGAAAAATTTTTCATTTTCCCCAGCAACAAATCAAATTCACGGAACCAAGTTTCCGCGGCGAGCAACTCGTTCTAGCGAAAGGAACGAAAATTAAAACAAAAACGACGAAATAACCGAGTCAGCGTGTTCCCTGATTTTAATTCCCCTCTCGTCACCCCTTGTCTCTCGCTCTCTTTCGCTTTGTTACCAGCCAGTTCCTTCTTGCACCGCGCAAACCAACCCCCGGGCACCCCCTCGACACGAACGTAACCCCAACGTAGGCAAAACTACGGCAAACTTCGCAGTAACGTACACGTAGACGTTCAAGAGTCTCTCCTCGCGACCGCAATGTAAAGATCCGCCATCGAATGCTGTTCTCTCAATCGTTAATAATCCTTTCATCCCCCTCTACGACCCTCGTGAAATTCGATTTCCTATCTTTTTTTATTTTCTTATTTTTCTCGACGTTGGATACCAACAAAAACCGGGAAACAAAATTTGTCGAATGAATTTGAGAACCACGAAAAACGACGCAAGGTAATTAAATGTCTTTATCGGTGTAATTTAGGGTGTATTGAAAGTGTTGGGTGGCAATTTCATTAACGCGAATTAAATTCCCCTTTTACAACGACTTACGTTCGACATCGTTGCCGGGATTCGAAGACATTGTTCATGCAAGAGGTACGATTTGTTCGAACAGATTTGACCCGCTGAACTGCGGGGGCGAACCTAAATCGTAGTTATGCACTTAAGATCGAGCCGCAATCCTTCGGAATTATTCAGAATCGCTGGAGGAGCCATGAATCGAACAAGACCACCCAGGGACAGAAACAAAGTCTCCGAATGAATTGTTGAAAAGCACTCGAGGCGCTCGAGGGCTGGTCCCGAGAGGTCCGTGTCCGCTTGACGAATGCGTCGTGTCGCGTCGCGTCGCTTCGAAGCAGAACGAGCGCGAACGCGGGCGAGCTCGGTGTTCACGCGGTTCTGACGGAAGTCGTCGAAGGAACAGCAGTGAACCGTGCACACGCACGCTGACAACCCGCAGATTCGACGATACGCCGGGCAAAAGATGATTTATGACCCGCGAACACGCCACGTCGTTTGCTCGACTCCTACGAATCGCTCGCCGAGAGTGAACAACGAAACGGATCGAAGCAGAAGGGTTGAAAAAAGAAGGAAAAAATTAAAATAGGGAAACTAAACGGTCGCTTGAGAAATTTTCAAATATTTCACTAACTCGAAGAAAAGCAAGGATGAAACTTTGTTCGAAAGAATATAAAAGGGTTAGAGAAGAGGATTAGCGGAGGCGCGGGGTCAAAAGTCGGTCGAAATTATCCGCCGAGGTTAATAAATGATACATAAACGTTTCGGCAGGCTGGACGCGCGAGCTGGCAATAATGACCGAGTTCTCGAGTGACTAATGATTTCCCTCGACCCGATGACGGTCTGATACACTACTGTCGATATTTTATTTTCACTCTGGACGGTCAAGGTCGCCTATGAAACGAGTATGGCATTTCTTACCAGATGAAATTGATTGAGATCTTAATGGGTAGTTCTATAAATAACGTCGTTTGAAATTCAATCGATAGGATAATTATTCCGAAACTGATACGTAAGGCTATGCGAAAATTATTGTATTTGTAGGTTCGAACGATCCTGACCAGGACACAATGCTCGGACGATGAAGAAAGGATCCTGCAGGAGGAATTGAAAAAGAAGGAGTGAAAAAAGCGGTTCGAGACGGAAAGAAAATAATAAGAGAAAAATAGACGGAGGAGCGGAGAGGGTGCAAGGACAAAGGATGAGGTAGATGAAACGAAAACGAGCCTACACGGATTCGTGGAGGTTTCCGACGACGGATTTTCGATGGTTGTGTGCCTTTTCTGTTTCATAGCTCGTTAGCGACTCGACGCGTGCACAGTGCACTCGTTGCACTTGGAAATGCAGGTCAGTGCATCGCTTTCCGCGTGACCTAATCGCGATGCACGATATTTAGCAAGTATTTATTAGATTCGTTTCCAAGGATTTATTCTGTGTCACCAGAGTTATCCGGATAAAAATTGCTCCATTTCGTTTTAACAAATGTGTTTCTAATTGTAATTAGAATAATTTTGACTCGACAAATTTTCGCGCAGCTTCCGAGGAAAGAAATGAAACGATGGCTCGATCTATGACAGAGGGTTAATTGCAGGGTACTTTTTTACACGAATGTTCGCCACGTGACAAATGTAAACGAGCAAGTAGGCTGATAATATCGAGATCGCGAAGACCGGTTGTCCATCTGGCCCAGCGAGATTAATGAACGCGTTGCTTAGGTATCGGAGGCTCATTAAGACACATTAACCCCGGCCTCTTTTACCCTCCTCCCTTTTTTTTCGCGTTACCTTGTCCTAATGGCACATTGATCACTGTTGCCTCCAAGAAAAACGGGCAACTTTAGACCGAACCAGGAACAAGAATATTCGCGCGGCTGTTAGCGCAACAAATGCGCCGAAATCGATTCGTCGCGCTCCGTTAATTGATTCGAGGTCGCTATAATATGATTTCTTGCGATTAAATCGATGCAACGGATAATTCAAATTCATGAATAATTTGTACGTTACTTATTCCGACACTCTAAAAAATGATAAACGTTCAAGTGCCACGTGAAAATCCTAGAAAATCCTTTTAGTTATTCTATATCCAATAAATTTACCATACCGTTATCCCGTTAAAATAAGCGAAAGATTATAATGAAAATGAATTTCAAGTACGTATCAAAAGGAATTAAGGTTTTCGGTAGATTCTGCGAAAGTCACAGGAAATCTATTAATCCCAGCTTGGCTGAAATCGACGGAACACTCGATAGTCGATAGTCCAGGGGAACGAGACGACATGTGCGCGAACGATAATCCGTTCCCGTGGATTGTATCTTATCGCTATTATCAGGAATCCCTGAAAGGAGAGCAAGTTTATCTAGCCGTTGTATATGGGCCAGATAATTTTACAATGCGCGGAATCGGGCGACTTTCGATTGCCTGCGACTTTCATAACTCCTAATAAATCCGGCGTTAAATCGATCGCGAAGGAAAACTCGAAACAGCGCAAAAATTAATTTTCTAACATTCGTAATTAAGAATCAATAGTCTTCTAATTGCCGCAAGTACACCTGTTGAAAATATCGATGCAAAGTTACGCAACGAATACTTCAGTTCTATCGACTTTATCTTTCGAGCGTATCGAAGAGAATCTAGTTTTGTAGAAAATAAATAATTTCCATTCCAAGTGTCGCGATTTCAAGGTGTCACCACACCATCGTCACCCCTTGTTTCGAAACACCATAACGATTTTTTATTTCGCGACACTTGGAAAAGAAATGGTACACAGGAAAAAATGATGGAAAATGAAATAATGTACTCACCTCGGTGCGCTGCTGTAACCTCTTGTTCAACTCGTAGAGCCTGTAGTCCGGTTGGCCAAAGTACGGAGTGTGCCTCCTGGGGACAGGCAACGATCTGTCAGATCAGACCGATCGGTCATGTTAGGTGTGCTGTGTACAGTGTGTTCTCTGGTGTGGGTCGCGTGTCGCATGCATGTAAACCGAAGGGGGTTCAACGTGCAAACGCGGACTTTCGTAAGCCGCCTCGAGCAATGCAACGAAATCGACGAAACGTGGCACAGATTCGCGAACACGAAACTTACGACTTTCACCGAGGAAACAACGATCGCTAACATACTCGATCTAGCTTGCTTCATGGCAATTTTCCTTCGAATTCCTTTGAAATCTAACACCTTGACTTAGGATCTTCGTTTGCGATTCGATGGAACCGATCCACTGGAAATTCTAAAGTGATTTGCAACGGTATTTAATTTTTTCACCAGCAATTTATCCTTTCCGTCTTCCATTAATAGGAAGAACAAATTTTGTAGTAACAATGTCATAACGAAATGAATCCATCGGATCTATCGAAACGCGAACACGGTACACCCCTCCGTATCGTCGAACGACAGACTAATTCTTGAAAATTGGATTTGCACTGTAATGCGTGCTCGTAATACGGACAATTGATTGGTGGCATCAAAATATTAGCGTTCGACTGACCGTTGGCAGGCAGCTGACAGCCGGCTCCACCGTTCTCCGGAATTGTTATCGATTTTAATATCGACACCGGTCCATTAACGGTGTTCGAACGCGTTCGATCGCGAAACTTACACGTGCCAACCGCGATACACTTCGACGCGTGCCGTGTCGCGATTCCGACTGGTTCGATGATTATCCTGTTTTTCGTCCGGAGAATCGGCGACCCACGGTACTTAGTTCCCTTTATCGTTGTTTACGTTTATCGGGTTGAAACCTTGCAACCTTTTACCTTTAGCTATATAATCGAACAATGAAACGTAGGTTCGAACGAGATTTCACTGTTACGAACACGATAAAACGAGAATGGTGCATGTCGTTGGAAAGATCGATCGTGCCAGAAAGAACTTGGCCTTTCTAGTCTCCGGAGAATCACCGCTGTGGGACCTGACGACACGTCACTGCCGTTCCTGCGTGTGTGTACACTCAGCGGGGTGAATTTACCAGGGAAGGGTCGAGGCTCAAGGGTTGCAAGGGTAACCTACTGTCGTACATGGTTCACCAGGGACGAGCTCGACAAATTTCTCCTCCCATTCGTGTTCTGATTCATCTTGATCCTGAGCGATTCACCGAAAATCTACTGCTTTATTTCTCTCTATATCTCGTTTCTTTTCCAACCCCAAGTTTCCCTTGTTCGTTCAATTTTTTAATACCTACGAGAGAGTCGACATTTAACGAAGCGCAAACAAAGTTGATTATTAACCGGCTCGAATTACGTTAACTTTTTCATCGGTCGGATAGCGCGTCGAAACAAAGGTTAACACACGTTCGTCTATAATTAATCGGCTTATTTTAGTTCGAAACGCGTGAATGTGGTATCGATCGAATAATACGTATGAAAAATTTTTAGGTCGCCTGTTTATTTATAAATAAACAAGCGAAGGATTAATAATAAACCAGGTATTATTGGTTACCGATCGAAGCTCGGCCTGATAATTATAATTAATCATTTTCCAAATCGAGACACATCTTTTTCTTTTTTTTTTTTTTTTTTTCAATTTCGATCACTGGCGAAACTGTCATATAGGAAAAGAGACACGAGTGCTGGTTGACAGATCGAGCGTGTGGCGTAACATAAAACAGAATGGAAACGCGCTAATTTAGCCGACAACGTAATTTCACGTGAGGCACGTACGCGGCGTGTAGCCGCGTGCAATAATCCGAAACCGGCTCGCGTGGTACTCACCAAGTATCTCTCTCTCGTTCAAGACGTGCCCGCCACGATCGAACTAATTAATTCGTCGCACGGCAGAGCGGCGGGTTCGGTTGCACGCTCCCCAGAATTTTTTCCTTCTTCTCTGCCGTTCCCCGCGAATGATCGTGACAGATCGTTCCTCCCGATACGGAACTAATCCCGGTGAATGAAAAACTTTCAGCGGCGAGCGTCGTGTGTCACATTTTCGCTGACCGATCTCGCATCGCTAAATTTTCTTTTATCCATTCTCGACTCGATCTTCCGTCGAACGCGTCCGAAGGAGAACCGCGAAACGCTTAGAAAGCACGGGGAAAGCAGAGTGTCGCCGCGGGATTTTCGATGAGGTTCGCTCACCGGGTACACGGTCGTTATCAACTCGTGGGAGTTAATAGGTTTAGTTGGCGCGGCTAATGGGTGTCCCCGGTGCGGCGGGTCGCGTCGCGTCGGCAGGAAATCAGCTGACCGGCCAGCTGGTCATGGAAGAAGGTGCAGGAACCCGCTGGTTGAGAGCCGTCGCCTGCAGGGGTCTCAGATTGGGTTAGCAAAGGGCGCAGTTCAGACTGGAGGAGGGTGGCTGGTCGAGGGTGAGTCTGGTGCGCGGAGGGAGGAACGGGGTGTTATTAGGGGTTGCTCATGGGGTGGCACTGCGATCAATGCTGGGGAGTCATGCTAACCCCCCTTTCGAAGTCTATATATAGAAGAATCGCGCGCGCACACACACGTAAAGAGCGACACGGAGGCTACACAACCGGTGCTGAGTAGCGATGGCCATTCGAATTCCTGTCTCGCCAGTTTCCGAGCGATTTGCTAGCACGCACTGCTTTCGAGTCGCTTCGAATATTATTCCGATTGATACGAGGGGAGGAGGAATCGCCAACAACGTGATTGCCGAAACGTGTTCCTTCGTCACCTAGGAGTTAATATTACTTATTTCTTTGTTCTATCGTCCCCTTTACCTTTCGTCCATTCTCAAAGGAGAAGTATACGCGTTTAGATTTCTATGGAAATCATTTTACAACCATTGTTCGGGATGTTACTTGTTATCGCAGATCGACCGATAGACAATGTCCGACTCGGTTGATTAATCGCGGAATCTAGCGGAAGTTTTCAAGGTAAGCTGAAAGCGATTGAAAGAGCGTTAAAGCCATCGCTAGGGACGAAAGCGTCGGTGTGAATACGTAAGCCCAGGGGATGAGCGTCGGTCTTGCGGGAGAGACCCTCGGGAAGGGGGCTAACGAAACGCGACGTACACGTGTAAGCTTCACGGCCTCAAGTGGGATTTTTCCGAGCAACTTTGCTCTAATTTTCTAATCGTTAAAACCATTGATTCCGTAAGGGGGATATATTAAAAGATTATGAATACGATTTTCGTGAGTATGATTACTATTAAATTCGTTACTTTTTACAGAGATCTACGGTTTTTATTTAAGAAAATTTCATCGATAGACTTGTTCGACAAATTTTTATTCCGCTACCTACTCGATTTTCCAGAATTGCGCTGATGGCGAGAAACGGTTTAAGGAATGTTTACGAAGGTTGTTTTAAGGAAAAGCGGAACCACCGTGACAAGCGGCAAGGAACGTCTCTATAAAAACGCAAGAGAGCTCGTTACTTTAGGATTTATCGGCTCGTTGCTTTTATGCAGCGCCTTAAACGCGCGACAGGTCGCGTTCCCGCGCGAAACTATCGCAAATTGAACGGCAATCTATCCGAGGAACCCTTTCGCTACAGAAATTGTCCAGTTTACGAGGAAGAATTTGCATCGCGCCGATACCAGAATCCTCTTCATTCGCCGGCCGTGATGGTCGCTCGTAAAAATTTACTCGAAAAGAAAAGAAAAACGTGTTACACAATCGTAGAATGGATCGTTTTATTAGTTCCGCTTCTTCCTTCGGGTACCGGCCGAAGAAACCATCTCAATTATTGACCCTACGAGTTATAAAACTGAGAAAAACACACGGCACGGCTTATCAGAGGAGGAATACGTCGTTACGTAACGTTCCTGTCCGATAAGAGCGTGCATTTATCGATCTCTGACACGAGCCGAGTAATCGTGTCGATAATTGAAACTACAGTTTCATTGAACGTGGAAAAGAAAAGGAAAGGCGTGCCGATACTTTCGTCGATAATTGACTTTCTCGATCTTTCAATGACCGAAATGCTTATCTATACTATTTTCGACCAGTCGGGAGGAGGAACTTTTGAAATTCGACTACTCGAAAAGTCGATCCAATTTTAGCGAGAAATTATATTCAGCAGGTAAACGAAGCTCTTCCGTTATCGTTCATAGAGTTGTTAATCGATTTATCTACTTCGGAAGAATCTCAATTGAAGTTGAACGATCGAAACCCTCGAGAACCTGTTGCTGAGGGAAAAATCATTTCTATTATTTTTAATCGCAATTAAAATAAAGCAATCGCGAACTGTTCCATTAGATTACACGCAGAAAGTAAAGAGCAAGTCAGCTTTCCAACAGCAAGTCCCTTATACTTTCGTCGCTGGCGCAGCAGTAATCGCACCGTCGCTCTCGCGATTTATGTTCACCAGCAACGATACTTTATCCTCGATTCATCCTTCTATCATAGTTTTTTTTTTTTCTCTTTTTTTCATCGTCTGTTAATTAAACGCGAGTCGACTCTCTGCGTTTTCTATATTTCAGAAAGAAATTCTAAGGATCGAATTAATGAAAAATCGATTAGACTATTGATAAATCTTCCTCGAGATCGCTGGTGTACACCGAGTCGTGGAATTCGTCCGAAGTTTGCTCGTGGGAACAGAAAGCGATCCGACTTGTTAAGCGAACCGGAGAAAACCACGTTGGTCGTACGATGTGTGCCAGCCATAAAAGAGCAATAATCAGCGTGCCACGCCGGTTCGCGTTCAACTCGGCCAGTGGCCATTGCTGGAAAAGTGAACGGTGGTGCGCCTCTCCGTGACGAAATGCCGAGCAAAACGTACCTCCAATCGTGGCTTCTCTTCTCGCGATTATACTCGATTTAATTCACGTACCTTCTCTCGGCGTTCCTTAAACCAAGGAATTTTCAAACGATCCCCATCGGACCGGGAAAAGTTTACCGCTCTAGTACCGGTAGCCAGAGTTGATCAACGTTTAACCCTTTCGTTACGCGTTCAGACTGGCCAAAAAGCGGTGTGTACGGTAGAACGAGTTTGAGGGTTTGCAC